TATAGTTATGCAACTGATGCAACCTAATATTATGGCCAAATCAATTACTAATCGGTTATTTATGTAACCTAAAGATGCCATATGTGTTTATTAAGAGAGAAAAAGAGGAATTATGAAAGGATATCAATTAGTGTATGAAAACCCGAGATAACACTCAACAGTAACAATGAAAAGAACTAAATAATAAATATAAATATTTGGCAAATAAACTACTTGCCAGCATAGATAGTTGTGATCACTTATCGCACCAGATTTGGATTCAATTCTAATTAGTCGTGAAACGTAACATGGTACAGGACCGGAATTCTTATTGGCGACAACATTTCAGTAATGTTCAACGAGAGAATTGTGTGAGATGATGAAAACCATAAAGCGAACGCATTATCAATCATCAATCACGTGAATGAAGGAGGGAGGGTATAGTTTGTTCTGTCCATTGTGTCAAAGCGTCCGCTGTGTCGAACTTCACGTGGGTACAGATGAATTACCTTTTTTGCAAAGATTGCACGTTGCAATTCTCTTTCAATAATGAAACTTTCAGCAGCAACTTTCTTTATCTAAATGTTTCAGAATTATTCCTTTCCCAGATCGTAGGATGGTAATCCCTTTGATGACAACGTGCAACATTACGGGCCAGCCTCCAATTTCTTTAAATGTGCAGATTGAAGGAAGAACAAATTCTTTTCGTTTGGGATGTGCGAGATGTGCTTCTTTCTACGGATGTTCTCGTATGAGGAGGGATTGAATGCATTGGATGATGTGCAGAGATCAATAACCCATGGTAAGTAAGGACGTCATTCAAATAGTCCGAAGCAAGCAATGTTCAATTCCTAATAGGCGCAGTAAATGGGAGGTTTTCAAATGCCAACGAACGTGGAATTAATTCCACGTGGGAAATGTGAAAATTCCCAACGTGAATCTTGCCTTTAAAGGAAGACGAGAAACTTTTTTCTAGCAACCGAACGTTCCGTCGAGCAAGTAGAATATGTCACGGAGGCCACTCCACCAAAGATATCACCAAAAGGTACTACAAATTTCATAGCTTCTCTCTTTCCTTCCGAAAAACTTATTGGTGATCAGCAAATCTAAATCAAATATAACACAGCATTTATATAGTCTTAAATTTTCGTTAGTCTTATCGCAAATGTGCAACATTTGGTTGTTATCTCGTTATTCGTTATTTTCATTTTTAACTCCCTAGTCATTGATAACTTTCATTCTACCTGTCAACCAACCTATCAATTTGATCGATTTGATGGACTCTCCTGGACCCTCGTTCTGATCAATTGTAACTCCTTCGTTTTTCCCTCTTTCGTCCCATTGTCCTTTAACGCATCTTCTATTCGACCCGAAGGATGGCATCATCGCGCATGCGACACGATGATAAGGCGTAGATGAATATTTTCGTATTAGCATCCTAGGAATCTTATTAGTCTTCTTTGTTTCAATAAATGTGAACGACCCAAGAGACTAATAATTTGCTCTGTAATTAGTCTCTAAAAGAGACAAGTTATCATGCGGGTTACCCAAATAGCGAAAAAATTTCTTATTTACATAAATATTATGGAATCTACCAAAATTATTACTAAATAAATGCGCAATAATTTTAAGCTATACTTTATATATGTAGTATGAATTCTAAAATAGAGCATGTGGCAAAAAGAAAAGAGAACGAAAATTAACTGTGACCGACTATGCGAGAGAGACCCAACATAAATCAAGTACTTAATCAAGAAGAGGATTAACTTTGTGATGTCTCAATGAATATGGTACTTATAGGATGTATTTGGGAGAAAGCAGGTGTCAACGTGGTTTCTTCCTTGGAGACTGGTTTTTTCTGTTTCACATGTTTACAGTCACACTGATAAGAACGATTACATTACACTCAACGATCAACAGCGAAACTCTTTAGTTCCTTCTATCTATTATAAGAATTTATGTTGTCCACTATATAAACGCATCCTTCTTTTATATATATGTGTATTTTATTTTTTTTTGGGCTTCCACGCATCCCCATCCGTAGCCTTATCTTTGTCATTACATAAATTTTATCATCATCATTCATTCTACGGCCGTTTTATAATTTATAATTATTTTAACTCGTACTGTAAAATTTTCGTCGGCGAACAAAAACCTCCGCTGTGTATAACAAGTTTAGACGGCTTGTTTGATTTCCAGAGTAAAAAACGAAAAAAGAATAAAATCATCCGCCGCCTCTAAATTTTCAGACACCATTATTGGCAATAACTTCCGTCGATATATGTATTTATTTATTTCTCCCTCTTTCCTTACCCTTCTTCCTTCTATTTATCATCCAGAAAACTCCGATAAAAAAAAAAAAAAAAAATCCCCACATCTCACCAACATATCTCACTTTATATAGTTGACTACACACACACATACACATATAATTACTAATATCAGTTTATACTTGCGTCAACGTGATCTTATTATAAACATTAGGACGTAATTTATGATTCATTTCGTGCCATATAAACTGTTGACGGTTTGAGTTTGGAAGGCTCGCTTTCTTCGCTTTTGTGTTTACCAGGCTGGACCATGGCCGATTCACGATCTTTCAAAGACAAATATTACAGGCTTCGAGAAAAGTACGATGCCCTCCACAAGGTCGGTCTTCCTTGTGAAATGAGAATACGTCTCTTTTTGCAGCTGCACGCGCCTTGTTTATTTTTTCTCCGTGAACTCTCCCAACTCACCCTTCTCTTCAATTTCTAGCAAAGGGATGAACTTAAACACAACCTTGACATAGTAAAGCACAAGGCGCGCAAACTGAAGGAGGAGAACAAGTGAGTAGTTCACTTTTATTTTCTTAATTCCGCTTGCTGCGCCCTAGATCTGGAATTCAGCTCCGAAATCAAATTTGCAGGAAAAAAAAAAAAAAAAAAATTACTTGGGTCCTCCAGCATTCTTATTCCTTCATATTCTGAATTATTTATTTATTATTATTATTATTAATTTGTCACTAGCCATTTACTCGACTTAATGATGGATATGAACCCTAGTCTTGTCGATGACGCATCTGGGTAAGTCTTGGAAGCTTGCATATTATAATTACACGGATTTTCGCATTTGGCTTATACCATTGTTTTTCTGCCGCTTCCTTTGCACCTCCCGCATCGCAGAAGTTCCTCCTCCGAAGATATGGACATTTTATCCGATGCGTCTTCCGATGAAGATGATACCAGCATAACTGCATCGAACCGATACGGTATCTATCAGTTATTATAATGGTTAAATCCCTATATGTAAAATCACTTGTCTTAAAATACTTATAAATTTTCTTCATTGATACACTTTTTTTCCTTGGTTTTCTCATATTCGACCCTTCGTGATTTTTTTGTAGAACAATCAAAACCCCCGTCTAAAGATTATAAAAGAAAGGTGTCACCACCAACCCCACGAAAAACACGAACCTCTCCTCAAGAAGTATCGAACGCAAAAACTACTGGAAAGCGCAAGGTATCCTCAAATAATCTGAAATGCATTTCATTTTTTTCTGTTGTCCATCATGATGTACTCGGATATTCATTCCCTTTCTTGTGATGGATCTACAGTCTGACGAAGGTAATGGCGCTGATGAACCGCAGGCACAGAAACGTCGAAGAAAAGCTCCTGGAGTGGTAATACATTATTTCATTTTTCACGGATGTGGGTATGGTGGTCAAGTGTTACAACCATTACATCTAAAAAAAAACTTTTTCTTTTCGTACAATCATTAGAAAAAGAAGCGCGACGATCGTACAGATGCCAAAAGGATTGAGGTTAGTACGGAGATAAACAATTAAGGAATTATTTAAAGCTTAATTTGATATTAATTTATTGACATGATTTTCTTTACTTAGCCTTTGCCAATGAACTCCGACAAAACACTAAAATTGCCGGTAACCATCGGAAAAGGTACCAATGAGGTGACAATTTTTAGGATAGGTTTGTATATGTGATAATGACATATGGTTTCCTGAAAAGGTCGTCGATTGGTTCAAATGGTTATACGTCGATACTCATTCTATCGTGTGTTAATATTTATATATAACCACAGGAGAAATAGTCTGGGATAGGGAGGCATATCACACGAATCGCTACATATTTCCCGTTGGTTTTATGAGTAAAAAGCAATATCTGAGTGCTGTGGACGTCACAAGGAGAACGACTTATACCAGCGAGATTTTAGATGGTGGAGATAATCCGATTGTATGGGTCTCATCGCATTTCTCACTTTATAACGATGTTCTCACGTGACTAACATCACTGTAATGCAATTTAGTTTCAGGTGACCGCTGAAGATCAACCTGGTCGTAAATTTTCTGCTAGCTCTTCTAGTGGTGTTTGGAAAAAGATTCTTGATGAAATTAATATTCAGGGCGTTCCTTCAAAAACACACGCCAGTGGACCGGAGATGCTTGGACTTAGCCATTTAGGAATCACAAAATATATTCAGGTATTTTTCTACATAACAGTCTTATTATCTTAAGTAACCTTTTCTCATATCCAAACGACTACCCGGAAATAGGAACTACCTGGAGCGGAAAAATGCACAAAATATGTGATGCAACGTTGGATTGACGATGATCAACCAACCCCATCGGCTCCGCCGACCATCAAGACCGAGCGTATAGAAGAGGAGGAGGAGGATGATGATGATGAGAGGTCTGCGATGACAAATGGCCACGAACAATATAATAACCAGATAAAACAAGAAGCTAGCAGCTCCTGAGTTGAATGCCTTGTTGATTTTTTTTGATCAAATTTTTACGCTCTTTTAATTTTGCGGGATTTTGATGTATCCATCCATCATTAACTTTCCCCGTAGAACTTTTTTTTTTTATCAAATCTAATAATTGATATGTTATTATACATTCTTTTAAAAATCTCTATTTTATAGTAGGTAGCATAACATGAATTTCATTTTTTTTTTCTTAATTCTATCACTAACGGGTCAATCAAGCTCATGATCAAATTCCAGTCACACTGTATATAAATAACCGAATTTTGAAAAATGGGTTTAAAATATTGGTAAAATATCATTTAAGTAGCGTCGAAAAAAATACTTGTCGTATTCACTATTGAATGGGAAAGAATATAAACGCTTGTAGTGGTTATATAATTTATTTGTTATTTATGTTTCAGGCTTATTTTTAATCAATCTACATATGCATATACATTTACATATAACATTTAATAAAATTGCATACACAGTATATCAATTCTGATGTACATAGGTTATTTACATTATTGAAATTTATTAGTTAACTGTTTTAAACTTTTTTTTTTTGAATCAAATATATAAATAACATAATTTACAAATATTTTTATGTTGTTATTTCTATTCAATAAATATTGTTTAAAAATTTGAATAATAAAAGTTTTTAAAAAAGTCATTTTAAATTGTCTTATAACAATCTTTTGAAAAGATAAGTTAATTATGGTTTTTTAAATGAAATTTTGACAACTGAAATAAACTAGAAGACAAGTTTTGATTATTCTTTTTAAATAAAATAAATAATAACACCAACAAGTTTTGGGTGCACCTATTTATACAATACTTGTCTTTACTTGATAGAATATAGAAAGTACTAAAACATATCTAAGCAAAACCTTATATTTCTAATATCAATTAATTAAATTATTTTTTTAGTGATAAAAATTTTTTAATTAATTAGTTACAATTAAAAATTTTAAATTCTAATTATTCTAATTAATTTTTTAAGTATTCAATTAATTTTATAAATAATTTATTGATTATTGAAAAATATCAATTTCTAATTGAAGTTTTTTTCTAATCAAATATACAGTTCATCTAAAAAGTCTTGAACAAATAATTTTTATAATAAATAAATATTTATTTAATTATTTGTTATAAAATTTTAAAGATATATTTTTTGAATGTAAAAAATAAAAAGTTTTTTTTTAATACTTTATTAATAAATTTATTTTAAAATTTGATTTTAAAACTAAAAAAAGTTTGTTTAAGAAATTTTTATAAGTTTATATATATATAAATTTATATATAAATTGTAGATAGAAAAATAATTTTTATTATATAAAATTTTTTAAAAAATTATAATTAATAAAAAATTATAAAAAGTTTTTTATAATGTATAAATTAATTTTATTTTAATATTAACTTTGAAAAAATTTGTATTTTTTATTAAATTTTGATAAATTTCTTTAATTAAAAAATTAAATAAGTAATTTAAAATTTAATAAAAGTTATTTTTTAATTAATTTTGTTTTTATTTTATAAATTGATACATTAAAATTATTATAAATAATTTATTTATTTATTTATT